AGTGTTTTCCTTTTGAATCTGGATATTTGTAGAGCCTGCTCAGAATTGGGAAAGAAAGAATGGGCCATTGGGAGTTCTAGGACCTTTAAGTTTTTTGTAAAAACAAAGTAACATAATTCTTATGTTTGTTATAATTTTTTAAGTGCTTCATTTTCTTGAATTCTTTAAAGACTATGGACAAAATAATACCAAGGCATTCTTGAGTCTGATTTACAATTTAATAATTCCTTAGGGAAAAGCCATTTAGAATTGAATGGGCCTGAATCCATATCTTTTATTAATAATGACAGAAGTAATGGAATGTTGAAATACATATCCATAAGATGATATTACATGCCATTTACTAAGTTTTGTACACCTGAGAAAATATGTTAATATAAATAATTGTTGTATTAAAATTATAGCTAAATGTATCTGCAGGTTTTAAGCTGTCTAATTTTACCTTCTCAATGAACAGTGTTTAACATCTGAACCAAAAACAGTTCAGCACGAATAATTAAAGGCTTAAGCTAAATACATAGACAGTCATTTAAATTTAGATCTGCAATAACATTTACTATTATTCTCCAAGGCTTTGACTACTTGACAGAAACAAAGTACTCTGGGATTAATTTCAAGAAATGGTGCCAACTGTGCCACAATTTGCTGTAATTAAGACATGAAAGAACACTAAATATTCAGATTAAAAGAAGCATGATGGAGCATGATAGAGAGTCAAGGTGTGGCAGGGAGCCAATAAAAAAAAAACACAGGAATACCATATTGATGGATATGAAAACAGTACCAGCAAAGTTGAGTGAATTTTCTCTTAAAGAAGCACATTCATTTATCATTATATTTAATGTCTTTCATTACTCAAATTTAAAGCTGACACATGGTGTGTTAGAAAGATAACAAAATTGAAAAAGAAGTTACATTGTATTTAAACTTTGTATTGTATAAAGCTAATTAGTTTAAGTGGCATCCAGTAGACATTAGGAGGGTATCATAATTATTTTTATGGTGAAGGGATTTCCCTATGTGTCACATTAGTGTAGTTTGCTTTAGAGCTAAATGAAGAGCTGTATGTATAGGTGTTAGCTCAAAGAGATTAAATACATTTTTTTATATTCATTAAATGCTTCTTTGTATTCTAAAGAGGAAGAATCCATTTTTATCCAACTAGTCTTCTTTTTCATTCACTAGGAATTCTGGGAAATATTTTCTTTCACCTTTTAACTTTTATGTATTGATTAACAGTGCATTTAAGCTAATGGTGAATCATCTGTTCAACTGACTTTTTTTTGAAAGGAAGTCCCTTCAAGGATTTGATCCTAAAAGAGATGCGGATACTTGACCCAGTTGTTAATGAGGGGCTGTATAATCTCCAGTGTCCTACAGCTCAAAATAGCGGGATACAAAATAAAAAAGTACATCAAAAGAGGCACTATTGGAATGCTCTTTGTCTTCACAGACATCACTCGAAAGATAGGACTTTATAAGAAAGTCAGAAGCTGATTTGCAGGCTGCAAAGCCATCAAAGTGCGGAAGGTGAATCACTTTGACAGTGTGGGCAAGAGACTGAGAGCAAGTATCCAGGATGTACTGGGAAGAAAGCATCAGAAAGAGCAATCTTCATTGTCAGAGTAGGTCTGCAGTAGCTGGATGGGGACCAGCACAATCTGCAGAGAGCAGGGCTTTGTGAGATGGACCAGTGTACCCCAAATTGTGAGCTTCACCAGAATGTGAATCTGTTCTAGCTTGATAAAGAGAATTTCACATTACAGATATATGATTAGAGGCTCAAAATAGGATATGTGAAATAGGATACGTGGATCTTTTTCAGGCTTTGAGGAATCAGCATCTTTGGGAGAACCATAAAAACAAAACTCAGTTGTTTCTACAGAGATAGCTTCGCAGAAAATGTGTAGTGTCTTCTGGATACAGGCTGTATCTTAGCTATTTCCCTGATGTTGCAAATCTTCATTTGGTGGAAAAAAAGTTTGAAATACAGGGTTATCATATAGTTCTCTTAACAGTTCAAATTGATCTTTAGTCTAGAATTTTACTATTCTAGAAAAAAAATGTAGTTGTAAAAACATCAATGTATTTCACAGACACTAGTATTTATATAACTCAGATAAGATAGAAATAAGATTTATTTCATTGCATAAATAAATAATATAATCTGTTATACATAATATTCACAGAACATGGAAAACATTGAATCTCTGTTAAGACCATATATTTGTTAAATATCTCTTCCATATAAATAAATAGCATAAAACCATAAGCATTTTATCATTATTATTACTTTTAAACTACTGTTTGACTAAACTTTGTGGTATAGTATTTTTATGAAACAAAATATTAATGAAGTTAATAGGTACATCATAGACAGTGTTTGTCAACCCCTTAATTTTTCCTTCTACTTTTGCAACGTGGCCAGATATGTGTTTCTGGATAAAACCCCCTAGAGGTATCCTGCAAATTCTTTTTCAATACAACCAGATCATTGCAGATAATTGTATTACACAGTGTATCGATCCAAAATCGTTGTGCACCGGAAACATCTGAAAAAACATGATTATAGCTTTCTGTTTATTGTTCGTACATCATATAAGCAGGCTTTTGTGTGAATCACCTGTAAAAAAGGCAAGGTGGAAACATCAGAGAAATTACCTCTTTACAAGAATCTATTGATCACTTTAAATCAAAGAAGTATGTTTGACATAAGATTACCTGCCAGTTTGAACATTAGGTACACTCTGTTATAGCCTAGGGCAGTTGTAAGTCTGACAAAGGGATTGTAAATAAAGCATGCAGCTGAGAGCGCCTCTGGCTTGGGATCAACTCAGGCTTAAGTCCAAGGCATAGGTAAACTTAAAATAATTTACCCCTTTAACCAGCACGTAATGAATTAGAGTAGACTCTTAGGAGACCCGTGAGACATAAATCTCTTAGTCATTTCAAAATCAGCAAACTTCATACAAAATTCACATCATACTTAGTTGATAAAGGTCATTTTTGTGTAAGTGCCACAAGTAGACTCAAGCAGTCTTGAAGTCAGTCTATTAGTACAAGTAGATTCTTCAAAAAAAGAAACGTCCTGAACCATTCTTATATCCATAATCATTTGTATGTGGCCTAATGACTCCAAGTCCTTTTAACTTAAAGAGCACTGATCTCCCAATTTCAGTGTCTGAAAATTTCCTCAAAACTCTATTTTAAAAGTTTGGGTGTAGTTTCTTTTTGGTGTAATTTTCTTAAGTAATACACATTGTGAAAGGTGAAAAAGCACACAGATGACATACTGCACTTAAATTATTTATGCAACTACATTAACAATGCTAAGCACATATCACTATAAAAATATTGATTGCACTTGATTACATTTTCTTATGGGTCAAAAGCAGAGAAGGCTATAGTACTTTTACATACTTTTTAAGCTCGGAGAATATTTTTCTAATTTTGAAAGCAAGCTTGCTGTAAGTTCTTTACTGGATTTTTTTTCTTCCACACTTTAACATGTGTTGAAATTATTAAACATTTAACTCATTTGTACAGAGAGATTTCGATGTATTTGGAATTTAATAAAGATGAGCTCTGGGTGATGCATTCTTCCTTGTTAAATATTTAGCTGTTTGCGTTAGCTCTGGGTTTCCTGAGGCACAAATTTAAACTGTTAATATATAGCAGGTTTAAGCTATAAAAATTGTATGTGCTGTAATTTCTTCTGGGGCAAAACTGGTCATTTTGAACATTTGCAAGAAAACAAAGCAAACATGCATGCACATATTTATTAAAATACGTGCACTCAGCTGCTCAAAAGCTATAAATGAGAAACTTAAAATCAGTCTAAGATCTAATTTATAAGGGATACATCATTCAACTTCAAAGATGAGTGATAAGTGAAGAATATTTATATACAGTACCTTCTTTATGAGGTTGTCTGTAAAAGATACCTCTGATGTAAGACTGTAATACCTTGGTTTTTAACTTTATTGAAGCTTAATATAAACATTTTGGGAACATAAAATGAGAATCACTAAAGAGGAAGATGCTTTTTTTAAAATAAAAATATGGTCTTCTCTATCTCTATTTACATTGGCTTGGGGATCATAAAAGTATTTCTTACAAGATTAAAACGACTGGTTTTCATAAAATACCATGATGTTTAATGCAATATATCCAGTTAGATTTGAAAATACCTCCAAAAATGCTCTATAAACATAATGTGTATAATAAATACATATCCAAACGTGTGATTAAAAAAGATATATAAAACCTAGTAACATTTACATTTGATGCTATTAGAGGCAATAGAAAAATAAAAGAGATAAACACTTTTATAAAGAAGAAATATTTTAAAAAATATGCAGATATATATCTCTAGGAATACGGTCAACAAAGAACAAAGGAAAAATGTCTTTGTCTTAAATCACTTATTTTTTGAGAGCTTGAGGCATACTGCTTAAGTCTGCTTTGGTCTAATGAAAGAGTGCCATCTATTGGATGACCTAGAAAAAGTGCTTAAATTTCATAAATATCATACATAAAAATAAATCAACGGAGACCCATCATTTTCGCATAATTTATAACATATCAGTCTTTGTCTTTATGAATATATACCTATACCTAAGTCTTACGCTAAAGAAAGAACAAGATACTATATGTTGTTATTCTATTATTTACTTACATAGCAGCAGAGGCCTCATAAATAAACTCATCAAATTGCCATCTGATTAAGACACCCAATTTTTGAAATCAAATGTTTTATAAAGTTGAGATCACTGACACGCATCTCGTATTCCTTCAGACATACCTTTGTTCACTTGTATCTTAAATAAAGGAATCTTAAAATAGCACAAGCTTGTATTTCAACACGAAGGATTTGTTTAACTCATCCTCAAAGTTGCATTGCATAACATTTAAACCAAAAACAAAAGAAAGAAAACACACATTAGCTTGTTTTTTTAAAAGGCAACGTTCTTGTTTTATCTTTCAGCCCAAGAACTTGCCAGTCAAGATGAAAAACTTCTTCTAATGGAATCCAGCTTGAAAGCTACTCAAGAGCAGCTAACTGAGCAAATAGCAGAAACAGTTCGCCAAGAACAGAACAGTAGAAAACCCCAGGCAGAGCTGAAGACAGTGACAGAAGGGATTATTGCTTCTGAAGAAGAAAAAATGATTACAAGTGAGTTGTTTTTTAGTATTTCAGAAAGTTTTCTTTTACATACTGAAATAAGTCCTTTTGACTTTGGTTGTTAAATATTTAACTCTCTAGTTCTTGCAAAAGGTTATGTGTAAATTTGCTGGTTTGTTCAATAAATTGTTGGTTCCAAAACAGATAAACTTTAAAACTGCAACGTTTCTTAACTGAAATGGTACATGTTGAAATTTGTAACTGTCCTATTCCAGATTCTAAATAATGATGTGGCGAGCAACTTTCTGTTAACTATCAGGAAATGTTCAAGGTAAGATGCAAGAGAAAGAATACACTGTATTTCTGTAGCACCTATCTGCCAATGGCATTCTCATCTTTCTCCTTTTGGAGTCCAAAGGTTACATATGGCTCTTGTTGCCTTTCTTTTTTGTTAAAGTAGCAGCTCTAAGCAAGACACTGTTAAATTGAGAGACACTTAGATAGAATTTTTTGGTCAGACCATTGAGGCATGTAAGGAACTATGAAAAAAAAGTAGTAAAGATCTATGCTGTTTTGAAGCATTCATGAAAATTGTTCTTAGTAAAACATCTTCTAGTATTTAATCACTGATTTCATCATCTAAAACTTTATGTAATTATTATACCTAATACAATGTTTTCTGATTTTACAATTTACTTTCATATAAATGTTAAAGGTTCTTTTTTCAGTGTTCTGGTAATTTAGTATTCTATCCTCTCTGGTTTTTGCTTGATTATCATAGTCTGCTTTGAAAAACTAATTATGAATGTAGCATAGCCCAGATGAATCTCTCTCGTTCGGGCTCTCTCTCTCTCTCTGTCAAGAATTACACTTTACTTGCTGAACATTGGTTAAACTGAGTAATCACACTTAGATAAAGTACACAAATATATATATTTTTTCCCTTGTTACTCATCCCTTTGAACAGTCCTGAGGCCAAAACTAAAATGTGTGTTGGATAGTAACTGATTTTTGGAAGCCAAATTCTAAACTTTCATTATTTACTTTGTATTTTGATCTGCCTATCAAGGGGGCTTCAAAATATTACATAGAATGAACATGAACATACTTTTCTGATTGATAGTTTATAAAGCTAATTAATAATGTTAATGTAGAAGTAAAATTTCTGAAATTTACTTATGAGGAATTTATTTCTGTGTTTTAATCCAGGGGTTAATATTATAAGGCTATAAAAATAATTCTACAGTCTAGGATGACATTTCATGCACTTCTAAATAAAATTAAACACTCAGATAAACCCTTTTACTATTAATGTACCTTGAGTCAGCTGCCAGAATTCTGACAACAAAAAAAGCCACAAATATTAAAAGGTAGAAAGTGGTACCAAAGATTAAAAGTATCTTGGGCCAAGTTTCTTTGGGAATGACTATAGTAATGAACTATTGTTATAAATATTATGGTCTTTTAGAAAGCTAAATTATATTAGGGAAATAATGTGCTTAAGATATATTTAGAGAACAAGAAATATATAAAAATAGTTGTGAACACTAACATAAAGCTAGTGATAATGTTTGATGTTAACTTAATATTATTAAAATAATGCCAGTACTTTTTTGCATGATGTGGCGAGCAACTTTCTGTTAACTATCAGGAAATGTTCAAGGTAAGATGCAAGAGAAAGAATACACTGTATTTCTGTAGCACCTATCTGCCAATGGCATTCTCATCTTTCTCCTTTTGGAGTCCAAAGGTTACATATGGCTCTTGTTGCCTTTCTTTTTTGTTAAAGTAGCAGCTCTAAGCAAGACACTGTTAAATTGAGAGACACTTAGATAGAATTTTTTGGTCAGACCATTGAGGCATGTAAGGAACTATGAAAAAAAAGTAGTAAAGATCTATGCTGTTTTGAAGCATTCATGAAAATTGTTCTTAGTAAAACATCTTCTAGTATTTAATCACTGATTTCATCATCTAAAACTTTATGTAATTATTATACCTAATACAATGTTTTCTGATTTTACAATTTACTTTCATATAAATGTTAAAGGTTCTTTTTTCAGTGTTCTGGTAATTTAGTATTCTATCCTCTCTGGTTTTTGCTTGATTATCATAGTCTGCTTTGAAAAACTAATTATGAATGTAGCATAGCCCAGATGAATCTCTCTCGTTCGGGCTCTCTCTCTCTCTCTGTCAAGAATTACACTTTACTTGCTGAACATTGGTTAAACTGAGTAATCACACTTAGATAAAGTACACAAATATATATATTTTTTCCCTTGTTACTCATCCCTTTGAACAGTCCTGAGGCCAAAACTAAAATGTGTGTTGGATAGTAACTGATTTTTGGAAGCCAAATTCTAAACTTTCATTATTTACTTTGTATTTTGATCTGCCTATCAAGGGGGCTTCAAAATATTACATAGAATGAACATGAACATACTTTTCTGATTGATAGTTTATAAAGCTAATTAATAATGTTAATGTAGAAGTAAAATTTCTGAAATTTACTTATGAGGAATTTATTTCTGTGTTTTAATCCAGGGGTTAATATTATAAGGCTATAAAAATAATTCTACAGTCTAGGATGACATTTCATGCACTTCTAAATAAAATTAAACACTCAGATAAACCCTTTTACTATTAATGTACCTTGAGTCAGCTGCCAGAATTCTGACAACAAAAAAAGCCACAAATATTAAAAGGTAGAAAGTGGTACCAAAGATTAAAAGTATCTTGGGCCAAGTTTCTTTGGGAATGACTATAGTAATGAACTATTGTTATAAATATTATGGTCTTTTAGAAAGCTAAATTATATTAGGGAAATAATGTGCTTAAGATATATTTAGAGAACAAGAAATATATAAAAATAGTTGTGAACACTAACATAAAGCTAGTGATAATGTTTGATGTTAACTTAATATTATTAAAATAATGCCAGTACTTTTTTGCTACAGTTGGAAGTCACAATAAAGGCACATTATTCAGTGTACCCACAAAGAATATAATTTTTGATCTGAAAACCGACATGCAAAGATCTGCTTGCAATTCTGAATTTTATAAGTAAATAAAGCAGTAAATGATCCAGCAAATTAATTTACAATGGAAGATCAAACTTAAGTTCTATATGCTTGATCTATATTTATCTACTTTATTTTCCAATAAGGCTTAATCATGAAATGAAATAGAATGTTCTCTCTTAATGTGAAATTGCTGGCAAAGTATGTATCACCTAAGAGAATAGTTAAAACTGTAGCTATTTTTTTTAACTATTTGCAGTGGTTTTTAGCAATTTGATATCTTAATCATAAAATTATAAATATTATTATGACATGGTATAAGAAAATGGTGTTGTTGGATTTTAAAGAGACTGATATATAATCATAATCAATACAATGATTGCTTCTTAGGAGAACACGTTCACCTTTCTTTTAAACCAAACAGGCTCAGCATACATTACCACAGGGTATGTCTGCATACTAGATATATTTGAAACATGGATAAAGTATACTACCATTTAATGTGAAATAAAGTCAAAGCCTTTTTGGTGTGGCAAACAAAAATTTTGGTTTATTTATTTTTATGGTTTTACCTAGTCAATGATAGGTGACATGAATTGATCAAATTTAACAAATGATCATTACTGGTCGGTGCTAGAACCCATGGTATTCACCAACCAGAAGAAAGAAAAACTATATTAGGTGTCACAAGGCATGTGAACATTATAGTTATTCCCTTAGCCAGTCATCCTTTAATTTGGGATGGCCTTTGGATTTTGACTAACTGATTCAGGGAGAAGTGTATGGAGCATAAAATTAAGGTCAAAGATGAGCATTTCTAGAGTTTTCATCACAGTTAAATTTTGCTGCTAAGAGCAGAGGATCTCACTAGGGCAAAGCATTCAGGGACATATTTTCAAGAAAAGGGAAACTCATTTCTGAAATAATTATTTTTTTATTTTACAAAAATAGAAAATATGGAAAACCTGGAACATGGTACATAAAATGTGTTGGGATAAGTCATAAAAACAATACCTAGATATATATTTTAAGGGATCTGCTACACTTTGAAATATACATCAAGATCTCCATTACCTAATAGTGATAAGGTATCCAAGTGATATAATTATCTCAAAATGATTCATTCATTTATTTTGGAATATCCATTCAGAACTAGCCAGGTTCCAATACCACCAAACTCTTTTCTTAACTTTGTATGAAAACAGTTAAGGAAGAAGAATGCAAAAAATTTGGCTTTTGTTAACTGTATATGAAACAGTTAAATAAGAAGCATGCAAAAAATTTGGCAATCAAAAAGATAAACCCTTTTTTTTAATATTAAATTGTGACCTGTAAGTTACTGGTTCCATAAAACTGAATTTTTAAAGAGCACATAGGATTTAGATTTTATATTTCTCCTCCTCTTTCTGAACTAAATGTAGAGAACACACACCATATACTCAGTATAAGCCTGTTACACTTGAAAGATTTGTTCTGAATGTCCAGTGGGAACCTGGAAATCGTAATAATTTGTAGTATCGATTGAGTGAAGCTATGCAGCTGGGGCCTCCGGTGAATAGACAGGAATAGACATTTTATTGATTAACTTTTACAGTCATATTTTCAAGACTCTGCTGCAACATAATTTTCACTTCCCAGCTTTGTGTTGCTGCATCATGAAACTTGGATTCTTCTCTCTTAACATTTACCCACTTGAGGAAAGAAAGTAGGGACATGTCTTGCCTGGGTTGTGATCTACAGAGATGCAAAACTTTCTGGAAAATGATTTCTCTCAAGTGCTATTTTTCCACAAGTCCTAGAAAGGAACTAGCTGTTTCAAACAGTTTTTGGGAATATCATTATGGCAACTGTTTGGTAATTAAACTTCTTCATATTTTCTTCATTATTTTCATATTTAGGAATCATAGTTTTCCTACCCAAATTTAATGCATGTAACTATTAAAAAGAAGTATCTTGTGATGCTTTATTTTTGTTCATTTATACTTTATAACTTATTCAATGTGAGAAGCAGTAGAAAATTGTTGTAGTAATAGTCAAGAATTTAGTCTGAAATGAAAACTGTTAAATACTAAATCATTTTGGCCAATAATTTCAACGTTTGAAAATATGAATACATACCAATTGGATATATATGGTAGTTCTCTAGTCTTATGAGAGTTTTAAAATTTATTTTAGCAAAAAAAAAATTGTATTTGCACAGGTGGACATACTGCAGATATTCTGTTTATAATCAAAGGTTTACTTACCTCAAGTTTTTTGCTGCTTGCTTTTTTTGGTCACTGGAACCAACTGAAGATTTATACGTTAGTTTACA